TTCGACTATTTGGTCTATTGTAATGATTTTGTGATGAATTTTGCGTATTTCTTCGTTCTGGTGATCTTCCTCTATAACTTGAGTTATATGGTGATTGATTTCTTGTATAATTTGTATTGTTCGGGAGTGGTTTTCCTGAACTGTTGTTGCTGTACACAGTTTTGTTCGGTAGATTTTGATCTTTTTTCATGTATTGATAGAATGATTTATTTGGTTCTTTATATTTTTGAGGTTTATTTTGATTGTCTTGCTGTTTTTGTCTACATTCAGAAATACTATGTCCGTATCGTCGGCAATAATTACACCATTTTTTGAAAGATGGTTTGCCTTTAAAGTTTGGGTGTTTTTCGTAAATATTGAGTATTTCAGTGATTTTTTCAACGAGGTCTGTATCTGATTCCTGTATATTGTTGATACTTGTGGTATTTGTTTCGATTCGGTTAACATATTGTAATTTCAGATTTTCTGTTTCTTCGAGTTTCATTGTGACTTCTGCTTGTTCTAGTTTGTCTACTAGTTTTCGAAAATCTAAATCGGGTTCTCGAATTGAAGAAGGATGGGATGCTCTCTTTTTTATTGCTATTTTTCTTAATTGCGGTGTTAAGGTCATCATTAAGATTTCTGTCATCTTTGTGTTTTTATAGTCGTGTGTATTTAATGAATATGCCTTTCGAACTAGTGTTTCGATGCGTACTGCTAATTGCTTGATGGTTTTATTTGGTAATCTGCGAATTTCATTACATAAAACTCTTTGTTGTTGTTTGTTTCTTTCGGAGTCAAACATTTTTGAAAATTCTTGTGTAAACCTTTTCCAATTTGATTTTATTTCTATGGGCAATACTGAAAACCATTTTTGGGCTGCGCCATCTAAGGTTGTTTGTATCAACGCTGTGCGTCGATGTATTCAATTTTGATGTAGTGGTATATTAATTGGTTCAGGTCCTATATTTAAAATCAAATTTGCTGTTACTGCATTTAAATAGTCTTCTACAGAATATTCAGGGTCTGTTCCTGTGAATACCATTAAAGGTTTATTTGATGTTATTGATGATCCACCCATAAGGTATGGATTCATTGTCATTTGTAATGATTCTGCTGCATTTGGCATTTGAGAAAAATTTGAAAGTTGATTTCTTGTTATTTCGTGTTGTTGAAGATAATATGGGAGTGGTATTTCATTTTGCATTTGTGTCGGTTGATACGAGTGTGTGATCATTGGGTTTTGTTGCTGAATTTGTTGAAAATATTGTGTATTAATTGGGTTTTGTTGCTGAATTGGTTGTTGATTTTGTCTATCTATCGGTTGTGGAGAAAAAATTCTATGATTTGTATGTGGTTTCTGTACTCCTTGTCCACGATATTCTTGATTGTACGGTGCAAATATATCTGGTTGTAAAAAATCATCATCTGAGGATAAGTAATCCATTTGATAAGATGTTTGTTTTTTATTTTTATTTTGTTGAAAAAATGGATAGTTTTCACTACGATCCTGTGAAGGATGTAAATTTGTTTGAAAGTTTACTGAATTAGTTTGTGCCATTGGGTTATCCCAGTTTCGAGATCTTGTATAATTATTAAAATTTTTTCGTGGGGGATAATTTGTTTTTGATGGATGTGTGTAATTATAATTATGTTCTGCAAAATTGTTTCTAGTGAACGTTTTACGTGTTTTTGACGGTATTGTCATGGGTCTGTATGTTTGATAATCCATGTGTGAATATTTTGGGGCAACCGAAGGTTTAACGGTTGATTGTAAGGTTACTTGTGTTTGTGAAGGGTTTGTATTTCTTGGTGTTGTTAAATTTGGACGTATTGGTGAAATACTTTGTTGTGTAGTTGTTGTGTGTACGATTTCTTCATTTATGAAGTGTGATGGTGTCTGGATATCTTGTTGAGTGAGATTTCTAGTTCCATTGAGGTTTTCATTGTGTATGACTGTGGAGTTTAAACTATTATTTTGCATATCAGGTAAAAATGTATTATAGTTTAATGGTGTTGCATCAATGGTTAATGGTATTACTCTTACATAATCTCTTACATAAGATATCGTACTTATTGCTTGACTTGAGATTGATTGTGGGAAGTTTATGAATGCGGGATGAGACCATTCGGGGTCCCAAACATAGTCTGATTGTTCTGTGATGGCAGTATCATCGTTTGAGTTTTGGGGTCTAAAATTTTTTCTTGCTTGTGAAATTAAATCAATATTATGTGTGAAATAATCTATTATGAACCATGCCAAAATTTTTTGTAAGTCGTGTTTTTTTGTATGTTGTGAAACTTCATCTTTCGTGAAATTTTCTTTAATTATATTTAGAAAACTAGAGAGTAGTGTGATTTCATGTCGTACTCTTATATGTTTAGATGTTTCTGTCGGTGAAACATTTGTGATTGGGATTTCGTTTTCTAATATCGAGATATAACTATATATTATTGCAAAAACTTCATTGGTGAATATGGAGTTTGCTCTTTGTGAGTTATTATATTGTATGCTTTTTATATATTCTGAGAATACTTTTGAGAATTCTAAATCAAGGTCGTCTGTTTGAATTACATATTTGCTGTGATTCTGGTTTGGTGAGTTGAATTCTATGGAGTAGATTCCGTATTGTTGTGTTAAGTTACATATATCTTTCAAATAGTGATCGATAATTTGTCTTTTGATTTTTACATCTGGGAACTCTGTTTTACATGGACTGATTCCGGGTTCAAACAAATTTAAGAGTAAATTTTTGCAAAATATATGCTGTCCTCTATCAGTGGTTGCATCTACGATAAAGGGGAAGATATCATCATCATCTGGACTTTCTTCACCTGGGGTGTGGGTTGAGCTCATTTTTTCGTTTGATGACTGTTAATATGTAATTATCAATGTGTCTAATTGGTTGATTCCAATTGTATAAATGTACTGGTTTGTGTTTATATTGCTTTTTTATTCTTCTTTTTCCTCTTTTTGATGAATTTGAAGTTGTTTCTGAATCGGAAAAATATAATTGATCGTGAATGGGGCAAGTTTTATCTATAGATTCTTTTAATTTATAAAGTTCGTCTAAACTGCTGGTTTCTGATTCTGAAAATGCGTTGCGGTTTTTGGAAAATCTTTTTCGTGTAATTTGTCTTTGTTTGGTTATTATTTTTCTTTTTAGTGTTTGTCGTTTTGTTCTGATATATCCAACTGTTTGTGTGTGTGGTGTGATTACAAGAACGTATTTTTTGTTATCTATTTCACAATTGTGTAAAACGATTGTTTGTTTATTTCCTAGGTTTTTAAATGACATAAGGTTTAGGATGACGGATGCAAAAGGTTGTTAAATGATTTCTATTACTTAGACTGTTAGTCCTTACGATTTTTTGGTTAGCCTAACCTGGGTCTATTTGTTCAGGGTTGGGGAGAAAAGTATATCGATTCCGAAGAATGATTTTATACTTTCTCGTGGCTAGTATAAGCTAAGGTGTTAACTTACTTAATCTTACTTAAGGGTAGTGATTGTGTTCAGGGTTGGAGAATAGTAAATCGATCCACAAGGTTCAGGTATAATTAGAACGCGAGTAGTTCGTTAGATACTATTTTAAACTTACTAAGTCTAAGATTTATCCTGGGTCTGGTAAGAGGGGGGATCAAGTGAAGGATGAATAACCGAAGTTCTTCACTGTTTATCCTAATTTGAATGATTAGTTTTGTTCAAAAATTTCTGTTAGTCCTGGGTTTTTAGAAAGGGTTGGATAGTGAATCGACGTTTGAGGTCGTTAGACACTAGCTAAGTGGGTTGGGGAGAAAAAAATTGTTCTTTTTGATCCAAGGAGAGGCCTTGATGATCAAGTTTTAAATTTAATTAAATAGAAAATGATTTAAGATCCAAGGATGAGCCTTGATGATCTGATTTTAAATTTAAGTGAATTTAAGTTTAAAATGATTTAAATTTGTGTAGAGAAAAGATTTTGTGTTTTTATGATATTAGTGAGCTTATGAATGCTGTTATGTTTAGGTGATGAAGCTGGAACAACAGGATGACTTATAATTACTAACCATTTATTGTCATGCTACTAATTTTTATTTTGGTTTTTCAATAAATATTTTTCAAACATGTTTTGTATATTACTGCAGAATTTAGTGAAACGATCTGAGATCTTATCAATCGTTATTGTATATTAATAATTTGGTTTAGCGCCTGAAATGATTTTGAAGATTGACTTCAAGATTTTATGTTTGCAAATGAAAATCTAAATTCATTGCTAGTAGTATTCTGAATACAAAAGTTTGTGTTGGCTTTTGCCGAACTTTCATATAACTATATGGTAAGTTTCTACTTTGTCGTATGTCGTCTCTGGTTCGAGGTCTTCTTGCAATTCCGGGTAGTTCTCTTATCGTTCGGAATATTGGCTTTGATCTATTGAGTCGTAGAGACATTTCGATTAAATTATCGTCGTGTAACATTTTAAAAATGTTTTGTCTAAATTCTAATCTATTTTTGGTTAATTCTAAGCTATTAAGGTCTTGTTCGAGACTTATGGTCGCACCAGATGAGTTAGGACCGAAGTGTATAACTCATAGAGTAATTTCGGATAGGGTACACCGTCTGCTCGTCACGCTATCTTATTTTCGGCCGGATAGATTCGTGCAACTTCTTAGTCTAATACCAATCCTAATCTTACTCTTATACTATCTAGTCTCAGGTTGTTTAACTAGTCTCTGCTAGGCTCAATAGATCTAGGGTATACTGGTTTATTGCGGTTGCTGAAGTCTTCTTGGAGAGTCAACTAATTTCTAAGTTAAATTCAAATCTCTCTGGTGCTGAAATTACAAGTAATTTCAGCACTTACAAATAAGTGGGTTGTTAGTTTGATGGATCATGATTGGTTAATATTAAATACTTTACAGTGGTAAAATATCTAATTTATCCAATCATAAAATGTAGTTTAGATCAGGTTCCACGTGGTCTAAATGTGTTCATAGTATGTCTTTCATTTCATTCCTTAATTTTATCCGCACTCAATTTCAGGAAATCAGCTAATGATTCTTCTTCATCGTCTTCTTCGGCTGCGGCGCGACTGTGTGATTTGTTCGTGAACAAATACACGACATGTACAAGTGTGTTGCTGTGGTATGTGTGGCTGTCCATCAGTTTCATCTGCTACTCCATGGTGTTCCACGCTCTAGTCGGAGACAAAATCCTCAACTTCCTCATCGCATCTGTGCTAGGTACAAAATTATAATCTGTAGGATCGGTGATCATATTATACTTTCGGCAAGCTTAGAACTTGGGAATTGCATGCAGAATATGAAGGCTAGTGGTTATCACGTTATATCAAGATTGTTTAGTCAATAAGCAAAACAAAGAAGGCTAACGGTCTCTTCCAAAAAAAGGCATCAGTCTTTCAAATAATAGTCCATTTCTGGCAAGGTTATAAGGGGGACCGAAAAAGTCTACCCCCTCTCCTCAAATTGGACTAAGGAAGCTAATTTTATAAGATATGATTAGAACCTGACATGCGAAAATCCGGACCACTCGCACCACCCTGGCCCAAATGGTTCCCGGAAGTGTAAATTGTCTTATTAGAACTCAGGATCTAGCGGTTGGAATGAGACAGTTTGGTGTGTTATAGAACTAGTTTAGGGAAGCGTAGATTTTGAACCCCAGACCTATTAGACCCCTACTTCCGGTGTTATGCTCTAAGTAAAAAGTCCCCAATCCAAATTTCGGGAGAAATTTTTTGGCCCCAGAAGAATTCAAAACTTTGGCAAATGATCGATAGTGAAAACTTACATCATATCTTATAAACTGAGCCAAATCCGACGGTTGAACCGGAAGCTAATAGCACTCGGTAAAAACTCCACTTAGACCGGAAAAAATCATTTACGCAAGGTAATAAGCAGCATAACACTTTTATGGCGGCAATAGAGACTAAGGGAATGAGGATGAAAACTGATAGGCAGGAACCCATGGGTTTTAACCCCGAAATCGAAAATTGACCCCAGAGTGACGTTTGATTGACACTGTGGCGTTTGGATCCAGAACTGCATAGAAAACTCTAAAATCAACACCGGAAAATGGGGTAATCCTCATCCTCAGCTCATGGAAACGACAGCCCATGCTAATAAAAGAAAGGTTTATTAATTGGAAAAAAGAGAGGTGTATAGCTTTCGGTTGCAACATTCTGGTAAAAAATTGGAAAAAAGCAAACTTAGGCAAACATAGGATTGAACTTAGCTTTGATAATTAAGCTATTAATAGCCACTCAACTAGACCAAAAAAAAATTTCCCACATGAAATTGAAAATAATAAGAGTGCGACACGGGAACTAAGTCTCCTGAGTATTATTTACAACGGAATTTTTTCTTAACCTCACAGAGGCTGCTTTTTGACTTAAATAAACCCCTCATAGACAAATAATGTTCCCTTGATAGCTGAAAACGTCTATTTGGCTTAAATAGACCCCTCATAGCCAAACAACGTTCCCTAAATGGACATAAACAGAGTAAATTCATCCAATTTGTTTCAAAGAATATAATTATTAATCTTAAAAACTCAGTCTGGGAGATCGCCGTTAGACAGAGAAGTGAAGGGAGGTGTCGAATTTTTTCAGCAGTTCTGTTTCGGCAGTTTTTATTTGGACAGACAAGTGAAGTGAAGGAAATGTCGAATTTTTCCGGCAGTTTCATTTCGGTAATCGTAAACTTGCGATTAATGCCAAAATCGAAAATTAACCTTTTTTCCAAGTTACGTTTTTTGGCAGCCGCTTCCTGTTAAAAATTGGCGCGATGGCGCAGCAGTCTTATATCGCGCACAGCAATCATATGATTCCGTGACCAAATCATTTGCAGTAAAATGAAGATCTCTATATAGTTTCTTAAACATTATAATATCAATTTCTGGATTAGCCCTGTGGCTGTTTATTAATTTTTTAAAATAATCGGTGGCTTTTTGAAAAATATCAGGTATAGTGGTCGAAGAATGGAACTCATACAAAAATGTTTAAAAAGCGGTGGAAATTAAACTGAGAGGCTAAGGTAGGTGAAGACTTGGTTTCTCATTCATTCAAAAAACGATAAGCCTTTAAAAAACTTGTAGAATTTTTAACATAGTTTGGAATCAGATCATGGGGTCGCCGAACATGATGTTCTGAGCTAGTACGGCCGGAATTTGATCTAAATTCTTTAAAAATGAGGCAATTTATCGTTCAGGTTGTATATCCTACAAGGATATCGTGCAGGAGTCTTGCAGGATAAAAATAACCTGGCAAGATCTAGCAAGAGGAACATAGGCTATCGACTAGGACTATTCAAAATGTTGGATAATTTGAGGGTCAATTAAAATATAGGATATTTTGTTTTAGAAGTGTCTCTGAACCTGCTGCTCCTCACAATCATTCAGAGATCCCGTCGCAAAATCATCCTCCTCCTCCTAATCTCCGTGTCATACCTGGGCGCTCTTGGTGCCTGTGCAATCAACATACTAGCGCTGCAATCTGAATACCAACTAGCTTACTTTTCCCTCACAATTGCCTGTCGTCTGTTCGCAGGTGTATTTTGGGGTATTCTGGGTCTGGTCACAAACGAATGTTACCCAACAGTGCTTAGAGCTCAAGCGCATGGAGTAGCAAACATGATTGCAAGGATTTCAAGTAAGTTGGATTTTAAGCAGCAGTTTTGATTTTTATCTCCCCCCTCCTCACCTCACATGAGCATCAGTTTTATGGTGTAAGGAGAAGGTTCACGTCTTTAGGTATGGCGACAAAAATTGTTTGTCATGAACTGAATAGTCCGCATTCCAACTTTTGAACCAATCGCAAAATGTGAGCAAAAAAATTACCAGTTAAAATTGGCTGGTGGGGGAAAAGAAAAAAAGCCGCGGTTGGCATTTGGTCGGAACAATGAAAAATACCACAAATATTTTCCCCTGATGACAAAATATCTCATAATTACTATCTTAGAAAAATAATCCTAAATTTCAAGGGTTGATTATTTGATATTTTTATTAATCTATACTTTTATAAATTTTTCGTGCGTGCATGTGTTTGTTTGTGAGATCCCAAAAACTAGAGAAGGAATTTTTTTCTGATAAAAACGTTGAATGACTACAAATGATGGTTTCAGTTTGCGCAGTGACAGTGATGGGTATGATTCCTCAGAAGATTCTAGTGGCAATCGTGACCGTCGCTCTGACAGTGGTCATAGTGGCCATAAATCTCCTTCCCGAGACCCATGGCAAGGACCTGCCGACAACTATTGAAGAATTCACCACTTTCTGCAACAGCGAGTCACTCAGAATAAAACCAACACGTGCAAAAAAGAGAAAACGAACTCTAGATGACGATCTTGTCTATGTCACTGAGCAGTTGTAAAACTGAAGAACATCCTAATAAACAATAAAAACAGATATATGAAAACAGAAATTGTAAATCTCTTGGAATATAATTGTAAATCAAATTCACTTTGTGAATGAGGAGAAACCTAGAGCTTTCAAATAGAGGTCAAAATCCATCAAAAAATGTAAGCGTGTTTCGGCATTCTTTAATTAATTTGTTTTTTTTTCCTTATTTTGACAAATATTTATCTCTCCCCCCCCTCCTCAACTCACGTATGCATCAATTTTTTGGTGTAACGAGGGGTCTTACAAGATTAAGTATGGAAATCAAATATATTCGTTTTAGCATAATTAGTCAGCGCGCCAATTTTTGTAGCTATCCAAGAATGTGAATAAAATATTACTTGTAAAAATTCGCTGTGAAAAGGAGGTGAAAAGGAAACAGAGCAGAATATTTTAGATTGAATGGAAAAAAAAACTAATACCCACCACTTCTTCTCAAAACATGTTCTCAGAAACTTGTTCTCAGAAACTCTACTCTTTGTGCTATTTTGAGATATCAAGGCAATTTAGGCGACAATACTTAATCGATACTGGGCGACAATACTTAAGTGGAAAACGGATGCCAAAAAACGCAATTGTTTTGATTTACGAACTTAATGGTTTATCGCCCCTGTATTCATGTGAAAATTATGCCTTCAAAAAAGCATTAAGTTTTTAAATCAAAACAAAATAACGACCAGTTGCTGTCGGAATTTCTAAATAAGAAAGAGACAGGTAAATTACAAATTTTTTTGGGCGCTCTTTTTTCAGGTAAACCTACCTGAAACATTTTGTTTCCGAAAGCTTTTTTTTCACCTTGACGTACTTATTTATATAAGTTTAAAGATAAATATTTCGAGGCAAACAAAAGTGTAGTATAGCTAAGGCAGCGCAAAATTCACTATCCGTTGAGGTGCTTTGAAGTAACTATTCAGGTATTTTTGACTAGACTTTCTCAATGCGAAATTTTTGCTCTTCACCTCACCTATCGCAATTACCATGAAAGCCATCAAAATGCATTTTTTTCTCAATATTTTCAATTTTTTTGGAATACACTTGCGGATAAAATGAAACCCAAATTCAGGTTTTTTTCTGAAGTGCCTATTTTACAAGACAAAATCGAGGACAACTGGGAGTTTCATCAAAGTTTTTACAAAGAGCAAGAGAAAATAAATGTTTTTAACAGCATAGGGTTTTGAATGACAATTTGAAAAATTATATGGACAGATTGTAGATTTAATAAAGCTTTTGATTAGATTTCACAGACAGAGTCAGTAGTTTTATTGGACTTGATTGGTTTCTATGTCTCCACTTTACGCGCGTAAAAGGGCAAATACGAAAACATGAGTCACTGGAATTGATATCTACTCAGCCGTTTTGCGGAAAAAATCAACGCCCCTAGCAGATGCATGAAACCAATTTGAACTAAGAGCACAAAAATGTTGAGTAAAAGCTCTGCGAACATCATAATCTAACTGCATATCAACTAAGTCTTTCAAATTTTCATATCACAAAGATTTGCATGCTAAACTTGACTCTTTGTGCTATTTTGGGATATCCGTTTCTGGCCGCCGGACCCTAAAACGTTTTTAAAGGCAATTTAGGCGATAGTACTTAATTTTTAGTGGAAAACGCCAGACAAAAAACGCAATTGTTTGGATTTAAGAACTTAATCGCCCCTTTCTTGTGAAAATTATGCCTTCAAAAAAAGTATTAAGTTTTTAAATCAAAACAAAATAACAACCAGTTGCTGTCGGAATTTCTAATTAAGAAAGGGACGAGTAAACTACAAACATTTTTGGCCGTTTTATTTTCAGGTAAATCTACCTGAAACATTTTGCTTCAAAAAGCTTTTTTTTTTCAGCGTGACGTGTTTATTTTATTATATTTAAAGATAAGTATTTTTTGGCGAATATAAGTTTCGACAGATGTAGTATAGCTAAGGTACTAGCGAAAAATTCACTATCTGTTGACGTGCTTTGAAGTAACTATTCAGATTTTTTGACAAGATTTTCTCAATGCGAAAACTTTGCTCTTCACTTCACCTATCGCAATGACTATGAAAGTCATCAAAAAGCATTTTTTTCTCAACCTTTTCAATTTTTCCAATTACACTAGGGGGAAAAATTAAGCTCCAATTCAGGTTTTTTCCGAAGTGTCTAAGTTTCAATTCAACATCTAGAACAACAGCACTGGGAGCTTAATCAATATTTTTTACAAAGAGCAAGAGAAAATGACTGTTCTGACCTGCATAGGTTGTCGAGTGACAATTTGAAAAATTATATGGACAGAATGTAGATTTTATGAAGTTTTTGATTGAAGTTCATAGACAGAGTCAGTAGTTTTAAGGGACTTGATTGGTTTGTATGTCCCCACTTCACGCGCGTAACTGGAATTGATATCTACTCAACCTTTTTCAGTGTTGTTGGAAAACTAATTTTATGGGAGCTTAATTTACACATAAAAGTTTTGTTTTATTTTAGTTTTCCATCAGAGATGTAGAAAAAAATAATTACTGCACTAAACAACCAAAAATTTCTGTTAAGCATTAAAGTGTTGACATAATTTAAATTTTTATTGCCAACATGAAGAACAAGAAATAAACAAAATGGACATGTTTTGAGACTTCTCCCACTATTTTCAATTAATTGAATTATATGGGCGTTTTTTGAATTTAATAAATTGGGTTGTTGATGAATTTTTTTTTTCATAATTGATTGGAGTTTTACATCACATGTGTTTGCTGATTTTGAAAAATTTGTTATTTTCTCTGAATGTTTGCGCAAACATTTCAACGCCCCTATCAGATGCTTCAATCGATATGAACTAGGAGCATAAAAATTTTGATTGAATACTTTGTGAATGTCAAGAAAACCCAATTTCATTTTTGTTTCATTGTAATGGCGTAATTCTACAGACGGAAATTGTTTGGAGGAGAACTTGTCGTTAAGAAAATATGTGTCGTGTACTAGAATGCTGATTGATTCTTTTGCGTTAGAATTGTCGACGTTCAACAGTCCAGATGTTTTTGTGGCCCCAAAAATCTCTGTCAGAATCTTAACAGATGTTTGCTCTCCGATTTATCATTTTACTATTGGTCGTACAATAACAAGCTGTAAATTTCTCCTTTTCATGGAAGTGCCAGGTGTTTTCTTGATCTTGGTTGACAGAATTTTTGTTTCTATTGACATTGTTTCGGTTTTTCAATAATTTTCCTTCTACTCTTTAATCGATCTTTTTCTATTCTGTGTTTAGGACTGGATAAATGATTTTTCGAATTGTCTTTCTTTTACTTTCTAAAACTAAAAAAATTTAAAGCTTCTTCCTTCTTGGTTGCTGCAGTATGGTTCTCGATAGCTTTTGTAATTTGGAAAAGAAAATTTCCAATAGCAGCTTTTTAATTTTTTTTATTGGTGAATTTCCGGAACGTTTTGAGGTGAAACATGTTTTTGATGTTTTGAGGTATATTTTTTATTCTTACTTGATACGTTTTTTAAATAAGTTTTTCTATTGGTTTTCATTTCAGACAAACATTTCCTTATCATTTTTTTGCTATTAATTTGTTTTTATTTGACCAGTAGAAGTAATCAAAATCAAGATCAGTAGGATTAATCAAGGACCAGTAAGAACCTGATCAGTTGGAAATAGTCACCAGTATATCAGATAGCTCTAAATTTCTAATGCCTTGTCGGTAAAAAGGCTACCAAATGAGCAATTCCAATCAAGCCAACTAACCCGTTTTGAGGATTTGATTTCGGTTCAAAACTTATTTTTATTTTCGAAGTGTTGGTAAAAATTTGTACAATTTTTATCTCCAGTTTTTTAGTTCAACCAAAATTGGGTAAGATGAGCTTGAACCATTCAATTTTTTTATCTTCATCAGATTTTTTTAAATCAGTTTTTATTTCCTTTCGGAATATTGAGGAATGGCTGAGCTCCTTGATACCAAACTTCCGTTTTTATTCAAAACTCTTTTCATGTCAGAAGATCGAATTTTGTCGCGTTTTTCTTGAACTTGTTCGTATAAAAAAGAAAAGTAATGCTTTCTGGGTAATCGAATTCAGACACAAATTTTGTGGTAATTTTTGCAATTTTATTCCATTTTTTGTTACACCAGAATATTATTCCCAAATCTCCCTTTAGGTTCCAGCGGTCTAAATTTCGAGACAAAACTTTCCAAAGGAATTTACGTTTCTCACCTCAATCAAAAACAAATTATTTACTTCTAATAAAAACTCGTGTTACGTGGCTAAAAGAGCCGTGGAAACTGGCCAACTTGCAAAAAAAAATAAAAAAACGATAACAATTTCGTTTGTTAAATCTGCACAAGATCACTCCACTTTAGTCCAGAGTGTACCGAGTTTGATCAGAAAAGCATTGATGTTCTCATAAAACTGAAGGACAACCCCTTACACGTCTGCAAATCGAAAAAAAAACTCTCTTGACCAACGTCGAAACCAACCACGAAAATGATCAATTAGATCAACAACTGAGAAAGTTCTAAGAAGGAACGAATGATCAAATGAAAAAAAAACTTCAGGAAAAATGCAAACAGTGGCCAAAAAAAATAAAAAAAAAACAATAATGAGCAAAGCAATGTGCAACATGATGTCAGAGACGTAAAAAAAAGACACTAAATCATACAAGCAATAGTTAGGAAGACTGAAACACGAAAAATTTAATGAAATTCCTGAAAAAAATATTTCTAGGCATCTACATGAGAGGTTTACCCGAGAGACACACTGACACCGCCGATGATAGTAATCACGTCGATCCAAAAACAATTGAAGCTTTGCTCGAATTTTACAGAGTGGAAAATAAAAAAAATAGCAAAACACAACGGCTCGGTAAATATGAAAAAGATAAAGAGAAATCGCGAACGTTATTGATAAACACCAAAAACACTATTAGACGAGACATGTTTTTAAGAACAACCTAGAAATTTAAAGAATACAATCCACCGGTGTATATCAACCCAGAATTAAACAACTCCCATAGCAATAAACAAAATGAAGGCCTGAAAAAC